GATTCTGATATCAATAATAGAGATTCTGAAACGCTGCAACAACAGATTCTAAAATAACGATGGAGAACGGTGGAAGAAAATGTGGAAGAGTAAGATGCTAGAGGATGTGTGTGTGAAGGACGGTCTGTGAAGCGGCAGGGCGTGACTGTCAGGAAGACAGCGAGAGTGACACCAGCTCCAGTGGGCTGAAGGTATTCCAGCTCCATCTTACAGCTGCTGTCCTCGCTGTGATGAGGACGTGGGCACTGCCTGCATAATCACAATTAATAGACTAACAGCTGGAACAGAGTGTGTGTGATGAAGTCAGTGAGTACAGAAGTGTGTGAAGTGCACGTCTGTCATATCTTCAGTGAGCGAGTGTGTGTGTGTGTGTGTGTGTGTGTGTGTGTTTGTGTGTGTTTGTGTTTGATGATGGCCTTTTGTCAGCTAGTCTGGAGTGTGTATGCAGCTGTCAAGGGGTGGAAGGGATGCAAGTGTGGCTGTCAGTCGGTATCCATGTATCTGTGTGTGTGTGAATAGAGAATCCGGAATGTGCTTGTGTGTGAGTGTCAGGCAGGCTAGGGATCAGAACAGCCTCATATGAATGCAGTGAGGTTTCCTTAGGAGCAACAGAAGGCAGCGTGAGAGAGAAACACAATTTGCTATTATGTTTTGTAATATTTACCTTGATTTCATCACAGCTAATTGCTTTAGCAACACAAATACACTGGTCATGATTACAAAGCCTTTCAATCTTTTTTTTTTTTTGGAGAGTATGACAGAGAGAAATGGAAAGCCGAAGCTAATGCAAATATAGACGAGTAGGCTTGTTAGTACCCCGGTCACAGGAGCGACTGGAGTCCCGCTGGAGAGAGCATCGAACCACCGCTGCACCGTTAATGAAGATCTGAGCAGCGGGCTGATGGGAGTGTTGGCAATAAAGATGCAATTTATGCAATTGGAATCTCATCATCAGTTGCTTTGTGTGCCATTCACCTGAATGTACAGCCCATTAGTTGTTTGCGGCAAAAACTGATCAATAAATAAGCAAGGGTTGTGGATGTGAGTCGGTTTGGTGTCGGGTTGATGCTTTTGTGGGGCTGTGGGATCGTCTGCTGTCTGAAGCTCCAAGAGGAGATGTAAGCGGCTCTGACAGCAGGTGTTCATCTCCTGTTCTCACTCTCAACGCCCCAGAGAGGAAGCGCCCTGTCAAGAACACCAATCAGATTAAAGCATCCCATTCAGATGGGGACATCAGATAAGAGCGGTGACGAGAACGTTCTGTCTGACAAATATTTATCAAACAGTTAGAACTAAAATACTTGGAAATGATGGTAGAGGATATTCCTTGGTCTCTAAAAATGTTTTTGCTGTTATTTTAATATAGTTGTAATGCACAATTTCTAAACATCCAATTTATGTAAATATGCAAAAGTTGCATTGGAATTTTTAGTTCCCAGCATGCTTTACATATTGCTGGATCAGGAGAGTAACTGTAAATGTTCTTCAGTGTGTCTTTAAGTAAAGGTAAAGACCTGATAATGTTCAGTTATATCTGACATTTAAAAAAGTTTGTCAGGATGAATTTTACTCATTGTGTTGAAGAGTAGAACTTATTGTTAGGTTGTGGGCTTAACATGTTTGATTAAAGTTTGTAGTGTTGCTTCGCTCTATGAGCAGATGCTGTATTAATACTAGTGCAGTGACAACCCTAGTGAAAAATAAATACTAAAATGTATTTGAAATACATTTATTTCATGTATACTGCGTGTATACTAAGTATACTACAAGTACATTTACACATTTATGTACTCAATAAAATTACCTTGCAGTTGTACTTTTAGTATAAACTAGTAACAATTTGCTAAATTGGAACAACTCATTTTATACTTAATGCACTTTAATTGTGCAGAAGTAGTGATGATGCCCAACTAAAGATATACTGAAGTATATTTGATTGTGCTAAAGTGGAACTATTACAAGTGTACCTCAGGTACACTTTAAATATATTGAATTTAAAGACCAATATTACTCAAAGATCATACAATCCTTATCAATAGTGACATTAAAACTCATTTTAGGCTTAGTATTAAGAAATGTGCATTGTGCACAAGTAGGACTCCGAATAAAGTTTAATTGTTTCAGTCTCAAGCGATATGTCAGTAAATATGTTAATGGTTTGAATTATACTTAGTATAAAATAAATGTATTTTAAGTATATTACTTTTTACTAGGGACTAGGGAGTAGTAACTACTTGTCCATTGCAAACATTGGCTATGCTAGCTACCAAAATGACAATAATAATCAAGAGTTCATATTAATCCGTTTTTGTAAGCCATTAGTGTGTCATCGCCGTTGAATGTAATCTTTACTCAACACATGGGATGAAATCAACCCAAACAAATTGACCTCAGTTTTATTGAGTATATTCTATAGGTTTGTTTTTACAGTATACAGACTAAAGGATCAAATTAAATCCATTAGATTTGATTTGATTCATTTTCTATAGAATCTTATCAGATCTGAGCCCCCTTGAAGTTCCCATCTGGCACTTTCATTGCACTGTAGGACTTTAATGAGCAACTTTCTGAAGACTCCTGCTTATTGGAGTATCCATCAATATGGACAATATTTTGGCACATTGTCGTGTTAATTTCGCGGCACAATCCTTTTCACAATCTCTCTCTGTCTCTCTGCCTCCTGTTGTTCCTTGGAGCATTTTTCATCTCGATCATCATCAGAGAAATGCTGCTCATTATAGGCTTTGTTTAGCCTAGTCTTATGATAAATGGGAACACAACTTCATATTTTATGGGAAATCATACAGCAGTCCATCTGGTAAAAATCTGGTCGGTCTCTTTCATGCCTTAGTGGCGGTGTAGGAATAGTCCTGATGGTTTAGCTATCCAAAAAAGTTCTCATCTGGTTCAATCTATAGGAAAAAAATGAAATGTTAGAGGCTACCAACAATCCTGTTCACGAAATGCAATTTTCGCAAATAGCGCTGGATGAATAGGACGTGAAATAAATGATTTCAAGAAACAATCAGCAGTAATATGCCAGCATACAGTGCTTTTCTTTTTTGAATGACTTTTATTTTCAATATCATTGTCCCAGTCCAAATAACACCCCATAATCATTTTACAAACATTTGATGGTGTTTATAGAAAGACAGCCCATTTCATTTTAACATCTTATTAATAGCAACTTGAGAGAGTACTAAATGTACAGATTCATTCTGATGACAGCTGCATTTACAGTGGCCAAAACACAGAGAGCTTTAGAACAAGAATCAAAATCAATGTCACCTGGAAATGTAACTTTACCAATACCTACAAAAAGAGAAAGAGAGAGAGACTCAAAGACACAAAATAAAAGTACACAGCACTATTTCGACACAGAGACTGTTAGTTCACACAGCATCTGTGTATGTTTTCATGTGTGTTTTTTCTCGTATATTGTGTTGTGTACTATATTCATAGATCTTATATAAAAGAAAAAAGAGGTACTCATCGATATATTAGACACAAATATAAAAAGTTAAGGTACACAAAGTACAAAGTTTTTATTTCTATGGCAACAACAGGACATGTGTCAGGTTGTTTTCGCATGGAATATTGAGCAATGTAATAAATTGTACCTGCAGCAAATCAAAAGCCAAAGACCATCTCAGATACTCCCTGACTAAGCCTCAGTAAAGAGTTTCCGGGTTCTATAAGTTTAAACGGTTTTTACGGATCTCTGTCACACAAGGAGGAATTTGGTGTAATCTCTCCTGACAGCCCTGGGTTTTTTTGGAGGGGACGTTTAGGAGTACGTTCTGCATCATATGAAACCTGTCATCATGAAATGTGCGTCGCTTAAGAAAAGAAAAAAACTAACAGAACTGAAGCCAACAAAGATTTGTGTCCGTAAACATTAGATACTTGCCTTTTATAAAATAACATGTTCATAGATAGATGATGCCTGAGTATAGTACCACATGAAAACAAAAAAATACAACACATGACAAAATAAGCCTTTACAATAAGCAGTGTGTAATTTACATGTCAACAACGAGGAGGGCTCTGATTTAGAAGTATGTGTCATATAAAAAAACATCATATTGCACTGGATTCAGCAGGTTTCATTCAGTGAAAGTTCTGATAGACTCAAAATGAATGAGAAAGCACATTCAGTTGTAACGCACAGATGAAAATGGCCAATTTTCTATTCCCCTAACCTCTGTCCCATCGGTACTGTTGTTCCCTTAGACAAGCCTTACAGACTCTACAATCGGAGATGTACATAAAAAGCATGACTTACAGTAAAATGTGCCCATAAGTGTTAAAAAAAAGGCATTATTCTTACGTGGGATGGAATGAAAATTACTATCGTCATTTTTTCTTTAAAGATATGTTTATTTAATAATATTAAATCCAGGCAAAATAAATGGACCTATTAACAATTTTAATAATATGATATAATATAATACAATATAATGTGTCTATTATATTATATTACTTTCTATAAAATTGCATTTAAAACTATTCAAACACTCTTACATAAGCTTGTCTTATGATATGGCAAACTGTTGGTAAAGTACAGTAGGATTGGTCAGTAGTGTTTTAAGGCGGGGCTTAGCACAAAGTCAATTCACCTTTTATTCAGCAGATTTGTGTTCAACTGATTCTGAGCTCTGTCAAGACTGAAGAACAAATCAACATTCCACACTCAGTCAAACTCCAGACATGTTTATCAGACTCACAGCACAAATCTTCTCCTGTGCCGGCAGTCACACGGGCCAGTCGTCTGTTCAGATTTATTGTGTTTTTTAATTGACGTTCAGTTTATTGAGCTGTCGACTGAGATGGTTTGGAGCTATTTTCATTCTCTGAGAGAAAGAGAATGACAAAACACCAGTAGTGTTTTTAATTTAACCCCCCCAAAAAAAATATATATATATATATTTAGTTTTTTTCCTCAAAGAGTCTCGTTTAGCACTAACTTGGACAAAAAAAAAATAAATCATACTCACTCTTGAAACCCCCGAAATGCATGATATCCCATAAAGTTTCCTTGTATTAAAATATAATGCAAATGACCTGGAATTTCCTAATTATTAGGAGAACTACAGCTACAGCAAAAACAACTGTTTTTTTTAGGCTTGGCACAACAAAAAAGTGTATATTTGTCTTTCTGTAACCTCTGCAGCAACTTATTCGATGTAAACAAAAAATATGTTTCAAACTTTTCCACTGATCCTGTGAAAAAGAGGATTAAAAAAAATCACAAGATAGAACAGAGGTAAATATATAGAAAACACATTTACACATGTACATAATACAGAGCTTAGTGTTCCAGTATATAATTAGTACTTTTCTAAATACCTAATATGATTGGCCAGTGTGGTTCACATGATCTCCTAAATTGGTCAATTATAGACAGTTGTGGAGGGGAAAAAAGTAAAGAGTTGACAAAACGTCATATGTATTGCTGTCTTCCAAGGATGAAAACAGGAATCAGAATTCTCTACTGCTTATATAAACATTTTGAGGAACATCTGAAAACCTATGATTAAATTTACTCCAAGACGTTTCACTTTCAGTGACAGACTATTGCAAACAACTGTTTTCCTTGTTCACAGTGTTTGCCTTTGTACAATATGTAATTGTAAGCATTAAACATCTGTTTTGGGATAAAATAACAGTTATCCTCTCTCTTATTTTCTTTACTCGTCATGTACAGAATAACTGTCCTGGTCTGTTCATGCACTGTTTCCCACAGCGGAGCTCTTTGGTCATGAGACACACACACACACACACACACACACAGACACTCACTCACTCACTCACTCACTCACTAACACACTAATCCAAAGTGTCATTTATTCCTGCTGACTTTATCAATAAATGAAACTGATTGACAAGTTTCATGCTGTTTGTATATTACTGCAGTTCTACTGCCTCTGAGTCAGTTCTGCTCTAATAAATCAAACTGTGAAAAACGATAAATAATAAACTATTAGCTTAAATTAAAACATAGCACACAATGAAAGGGACATTCATGGTTTTGTTAGTAAGTAAACGCAAATGAAATCAAGTTGGCACAAATTACTAGGCACGAAAATAAAGTAACACAATATTTTGTCCTTTATGAGTCTATGCACGAGGCTGATAATTGTCTGGTGATTTATTCAAATTAAGCTTTGTAATTAAAACCTAGAGGAGGTTTATATTACCTATTTTGTAATGTTTTAATAGATAATTGTGTTATTTAGGCTCGACCCACAAACTAACAGTTGTTATCAAACACCTCTCTGAGGGTCTGTGAGTCCGTAAACATGATTAACCCATACATGTAATTTCTCATCAGTGATAAAAAAAAGAAAAGAAAAGGAAACTCAACACGCGTCTGAAGCATGGCTTTGGCAAATCAAATAAGCTGTAAATGAATACTGAATCTGGCTTCCACATTGTTTGATAGCTTTAAAAACATTTCAACTTTTCATTGAACCTCCGCTCGCAGATTAACAGTCCCAAGAGTCCAGTTGAATTGGGTCTGCCTGACTCATAAGTAACCTCGTTTGTATAAAAATAGAGACTATTCCTTTAAAACGGGGCCTAGTAACAATGTAGTGAAATTAAAACCTGGGTATACTATTCCTCACTGGGTTCATTTTTTTTTTTCTCTAAATGAATAGTGCCCATATAAATATTTTTTGGACATTTGTAACACATTTCCTCAGCTATTTCAAAACATATTTCAAATACATATTCATACTTTTTATACAAAAACGGATGACAGATTTATATTGGGAGACAGTCACTGAAATTACTTGATGTGTCTGTAATTTTCCACAAAACTGAACACGTCCCATCTATATATGTAGTGGCACATAATGGCATTATTGGCACAAAGTTCAGGAGAGTCTTTTCTCCACACAAGCAGACGTATCGTCAGAGAGCGTCCCCGCAGCCTCTCCTCTCCAGCACACCCACATGTGCAGTAATACACGTATATAATATATCAGCTCTAGGTATATCATCTCTAAAATGATCACATGTCTATGGAAAATAATTTGGGAGTGGTATCCATAGCACTGCATCAGTCTAGAAAAATAAACATCTTCAGTCCGCTTCTAGAGAGATCCGACATTTGTACAAAACTGCCTGTTCGTCTCGCTTCCCGTCTCTGTAATTGCTTGTCGTTGTTGTTCTTGTGGTTTTGTTTTGCTTTATTGTGTTATAGTCTTTTGTGTTTGATTCACAGGTTTTCCAATGAGATCCTGAAAGTAGAAAAGTTTCCATTTATGTATTTAAATATTAAAGTTATATGACTTTTTGAATAGAATAAGAACTGATAGTGTAACTTTGTAAATAAAATACTCTAAAGGTATGTAAGAAACAATAATGCATTAACTTTATACAACTTGAAATGTTAAAAATATATTAGTACATATAGAAATTAATATTAACCTAGATTAAGTAATTGGTAGCACTTTACAGTAGGTTGCATGTGTCATTAGTTAACTACATTATAGTTAACATGAGCTAACAATAGAAAAACTTCTGCTTCTAATCTACTTCTGCATTTTATAATCTTAATTAAAGTTAAAGTCAGTATTTACTAATATAAGGGTTATTACAGTTAACTAAACTGGTTAGTTTTTTACTAAAACTGTAAAAAAAAATCTGTTACTTTAAATAAAATAAATGTTAACTGAAAGAAAATAAAATATTTAATTCAGCTATTTCCCAAGGAAACATTTTAGCTTAACTTGATGTACTAAAATAAAATAAATAAGTAAAATAAAAACATTAAATAAAAAATAATTAAAACTATGTAGACGTATAAAAATGACAAATGACAAAAACACACAAAAACCAATGAAAATAGAAACATAATGTATAACTAATTCAATCTATTAATAAAGACTTCCATAGTATATCATGATAGTAAAATAACACTGACTAATACAATATGAAAATGTAAAAGTTGTAGCTGTTTAATATTATGTAGTGGAGTTGAGCTAACATGAACTAACAGTAAACAGTTGTATTTGTTATCTGAGCCACAAGTCTGCAACTCATTTCAGTTCTATGACTAGTGAAATATCGCTGTTAAACCCTGTGGAACGGTGATTTTCCAGTAAGTACACAAGCACTGGAAAAGCATGTCAGAATTACACCATATAGACTTCAGAGCCATAAGAAATACAGTACATACCAGGGCACAAATTGAAGACGTGGGCTCAACCCAAAGGTAGTAAAAGGGCCTCAACAGGAGATCTCGAACCATTTCTCAGACACAAAGGCCACAGGGATTAGCTGCCTTTCAGTGGGCGATGGTCTGGAATAGACAGACAGATCAGCTCTTCAATCCTGCAGATATAAGCACTTCTGTCCCACTCCCTGATTCAAGACTCTTTTTTTATGTGGCGACTGCATTATACCACAAACAAAGCGCCCACAGTTACATTTACCCTAAACCCTCTCATCTAGGCTTTTCTATTCAGAAGCATACAGTATTAAATGAAGCAGCACTGAAATTATTCATACAATTTAAAGCTCATACTCAGTCTTTTATAAAGACAAGGGCAATGGAAGGACAAAAACACGAATACACAACTGTCACAACATACTTATCTGAAAAATAATGACTCTCTGGCAGATTCCACTGGTTATTTTCAAAATGCACATTAAAGGCTAAATTATTCTATTATTGAAGATCGTAGCAGGGAAAAACATGTTAAAAGCAGCACTTTAAGAATGGTGAAACTATCACATTCTTGCGTTCAAAAACAGTTTGAATGGAACAGAATGCAGGGGTTTTAAGACCACTGACATTAAAAGTTGGACTATTATTAACTTAACAAGCTGTCATAAATAGCTAAAAAATAACTCATAACTACAGGAAAAAACTGCATGAGACATGATGCAACTGCCAGAGAGTCTGTCTTCGTGTGAATGGCTGTGCATTATACAGGATGAATTTAAAGATGCAACTTCTCTAAGAATGTTTTAATATGGAAACTGTCTGTCAGCTATAGTAAAGTTCAGAAAAAAGGTACAACACTCTGTTCTTACACTGTAGGCACTAATAAAGGTACTAATATGTACCATTTAGGGGTTAATAAGGTTTTAAAAAAATTTTTTTTTTTTTTACCTTTTTTAACTTTGTACCTTTATTCTGAGACTGCACTGTTATATTAAAAATATATCCAAAAAAAGATAAATCAAGTAGAAAACAGAAATGTTTTCCTTTGCATTTTTGAAAAGTTTTGCAAACAGACAACAACGTATTCCAAATGTTCCGTTCACATGGATCTGTGAAAATGACTAAAACACTGTATTATGCATACCTGTAGATGGCGATGTCACTTTGTAAAGAAACATTTCAATTTATTTATTTATTTAATATAGTATATATTGTGACAATACTGGTATCGTTTTTTAAAACTTGCACTTTGAATCTGGTTTTCAAAAGTTTCCATTTTCAGGTGTCGTTTAAAATGCCGTTGTCGTGTAAATAAACAGCCAAGACGCATAAAAGGTTTTCCGTTTTCAGTCGTGTAAATGGCCCCTTTTTAAAATGGCAAACAGCCGGGGTCAAACGTGATGTGCACTTTAAACAGCATGTTATACATTGGTGCATAATAGTAAAGTTCAGAAAAAAGGTACAACACTCTGTTCTTACACTGTAGGCACTAATAAAGGTACTAATATGTACCATTTAGGGGTTAATAAGGTTTTAAAAAAATTTTTTTTTTTTTTACCTTTTTTAACTTTGTACCTTTATTCTGAGACTGCACTGTTATATTAAAAATATATCCAAAAAAAGATAAATCAAGTAGAAAACAGAAATGTTTTCCTTTGCATTTTTGAAAAGTTTTGCAAACAGACAACAACGTATTCCAAATGTTCAGTTCACATGGATCTGTGAAAATGACTAAAACACTGTATTATGCATACCTGTAGATGGCGATGTCACTTTGTAAAGAAACATTTCAATTTATTTATTTATTTAATATAGTATATATTGTGACAATACTGGTACAAATGCCGTTGTCGTGTAAATAAACAGCCAAGACGCATAAAAGGTTTTCCGTTTTCAGTCGTGTAAATGGCCCCTTTTTAAAATGGCAAACAGCCGGGGTCAAACGTGATGTGCACTTTAAACAGCATGTTATACATTGGTGCATGATGTTTCTTCTGCTCTGCTTTGGTCCAGTGTTCAAGCTTTTCAGAATGAACATTGTTTCTGACAGCACTAAACCTACTCTATGCTACGAGGAATGTACAGAATGTACGGACTGGGCTGTCAGTGCAGTCTCTTCGCTGTCCCAACTACTTGGTCAGCAGTAGCAACATCCAGCCCAGTTTTTTTTTCTGGAGAATATATATTAATGTTGGACTCTTGCCTGTTTCCATTGTAGGAGGTCTTGTAGATGGGTGTGTGCTGAATCATCTCGTCCGTGTACACCGGTATGCCGGCCCGCACACACTCGTGCGAGCACTGTAAACTGTCGTTGTAGGCAGTGAAGATGTCCACCTTACTGGGCACGCGGGCAGGCGTGAAGTCAGTCAGGTTTTGACAGCTCTCCTCTTGCTGGTTGATCTTTCTCTGATGGCTGCTGTGTCGGCCATTCCCGGACTGCGCACAGCTACAAAAACACGCACCAAATTCACAAAGCCAACATAAAATCATACCTTGAACCGCTGTGTCTGTCCTACATTTAACATGGACTGGGGAGGCAGACACAGACAAATTTAGCTCTGTTCGAAACCTAGTGAGCCTCCTCGCTGTGTTTCCTAAATAGGCATTCTGATTGAAATGGAACCTCATAAATGGCTGATCTGAAATGCTCTACATAGACAGCAAAGTACAGCAAAATGGCTTGACAAAAGTTGATTTCAATGTGAAGATCAACTCGACACTTTAGCATAAATATACATAGTGCACATACATTTGGGGTAAAATAGTATGTTTCTAATGATTATTTTTGAATTATTTTATGTATTTTTATTTATTTGTATTTTAAAAATTATTAATATTACTACCATTTTTCTGCAGTATCTTGGATAATGAACGTTTATTTGTTTTATAATTATTTTGAATTAATTACATTAATAATGAACGTTTATTTGTTTTATAATTATTTTGAATTATTTATTTTTATTGTTTTTATTAACATTTTTTAGAAATAATTTTCAGTATTTTATAAACCTTGAATAATTAACATTTCACTTAAATCATTTATTATTATTATTATTATTATTATTATTATTATTATTATTATTATTATTATTATTATTATTATTATTATTATTATTATTATTATTATTATTATTATTATTATTATTATTATTATTATTATTATTATTATTATTATTATTATTATTATTACAACTACTACCACTACCAACTGCTTAGCAGTATCTTGGATAATGAATATTTGAGTTTTTAATTATTTTACAATAATTTTTCATTAGTAACATTTTATTAATATTATTTTTATTACCAATTTTTTTTAGGAATAATTTTCAGTATTGAATGAATATTGAATAATGAACATTTCTCTCACATCTGAAAAATAGTCACCATTTAAAAATGGTTATTATGTTGATTATTATTATTAAAATTTTTCAGCAGTAGATTGGATAATAAACATAAATATGACATTTTTTTATTAGTATTATTTGAATTTGTAACATTTTTAAAAAATAATAATTTTCAGTATCTAGAATAATGCACAAATCATTTATTATTATTATTATTATTATTATTATTATTATTATTATTATTATTACAACTACTACCACTACCAACTGCTTAGCAGTATCTTGGATAATGAATATTTGAGTTTTTAATTATTTTACAATAATTTTTCATTAGTAACATTTTATTAATATTATTTTTATTACCAATTTTTTTTAGGAATAATTTTCAGTATTGAATGAATATTGAATAATGAACATTTCTCTCACATCTGAAAAATAGTCACCATTTAAAAATGGTTATTATGTTGATTATTATTATTAAAATTTTTCAGCAGTAGATTGGATAATAAACATAAATATGACATTTTTTTATTAGTATTATTTGAATTTGTAACATTTTTAAAAAATAATAATTTTCAGTATCTAGAATAATGCACATTTCTCTTACATCTGTTTCTAATTATTATTATTTTTATATATATATTATAACTACCATTTTTCAAGAAGTAATTTTCAGTATTTGTTGAGTCTTGGTTAATGAACATTTTCTTATTATTATTATTATTATTATTATTATTATTATTATTATTATTATTATTATTATTATTATTATTATTATTATTATTATTATTATTATTATTATTATTATTATTATTATTATTATTATTATTATTATTATTATTATTATTATTATTATTACAACTACTACCACTACCAACTGCTTAGCAGTATCTTGGATAATGAATATTTGAGTTTTTAATTATTTTACAATAATTTTTCATTAGTAACATTTTATTAATATTATTTTTATTACCAATTTTTTTTAGGAATAATTTTCAGTATTGAATGAATATTGAATAATGAACATTTCTCTCACATCTGAAAAATAGTCACCATTTAAAAATGGTTATTATGTTGATTATTATTATTAAAATTTTTCAGCAGTAGATTGGATAATAAACATAAATATGACATTTTTTTATTAGTATTATTTGAATTTGTAACATTTTTAAAAAATAATAATTTTCAGTATCTAGAATAATGCACATTTCTCTTACATCTGTTTCTAATTATTATTATTTTTATATATATATTATAACTACCATTTTTCAAGAAGTAATTTTCAGTATTTGTTGAGTCTTGGTTAATGAACATTTTCATTTCTAAATGTAATTATTTTAATAATTTGTATTTTTATTAGCATTATTGTTTTAGAAATAATTTTATAATTGAATTAACTTTTACGTTATGAACAGAATGCTCTCACATTCATGTTGCAATGCACTCTGGGATTGCTCTCTCTGCAGAAGATTCATACAATTCCAAAAGAAGGTATCTTAGGTACCTTAAAATGCTGCCTACGGAGGAAGCTCAACAGGTTTGGGAAAAAGCTATTGTGTACAAGTGTCCGGATTGCTTGGCGCAATAAAGGGTCACTGTCCACATTGACAGACAGAGTGATAGAGAAGGACAGATTGAAAAGATAATAAACAGACTGAGGGACAGGAATAGAGACAGACAAGAGGAACACCGACAGAAAAATCACTGAGACACAGTGCTGAAAGAAAAGAATGTTTCCTACCAGTTTTTAAGGACTAGAGTAGTGATCAAGGCTGCAACGATCATGATGAGGGACACAGTGATGGTGATGATCTGGTGAACAGCCAGACCTAAGAAGAGAAAAACAAAAAAACAAAGACAGCATAGTTATCAATGTCTCCATGGCAACTAATGTGAGCTCCAGTGCCTTTTGTAAGGTATTTGATTGCGAAAACACTGATTCTGCATCTTAACATGCTCCGCTCTATCTATGCCAGCGTAGCTTCTTCTAAGCCCCGTCTGCCACCGTTACAGTAATTCAATTGTTCATTTGACCATTTTAAAAGTCTGGAGCATGAAACAGCTTGACTGGGAGAAGATGGCAAGCACACCAGCTGGCTAAAGGTCAGCAAACGACAATTAAGGCAGAGCAAGAACTCTCTGTTCCAGAATAAAGAGCATCACAAGAACTATGAGCTACGCTGTCTTTCTCACTCCGTCACTCCCGAATGGATAGAAATGAAACCCTGCGGGGAGCCGCAGTTACAGACTTTTAGATATAAAGAGTGCCACGACTTCCATTCCTTGCTGGAGCTGATAAGAGTGAAGGAAGCAATTTTATGGATTTCCCCATCAATATTAAAGTGTTTTGTGTGCGGGTCTGCGAGGATCCATCACACATGCGAACAGCAGCATCCATATTAAAGTATCTAGGATATGAGAATGCGGCATGGCTTGGCACATTTATGTGAGTGGTTAGTTTGCAGGACCTAAGGGAGTTCCACGGTTCCAGCATTAATTTATTCACATAACCATTTCAGAGTTATAACACTAGTCAACCTTACTTCACCTAGCACAGTAGCTTCACATGGGGCTAAGTGTCAGTATGCGACAGATCATATGAACATAGACTAATTTGTTATAGTTATAATGATATCTTTAATGGAATAAAATCCATAAAAATAGGGGACAATATACTGTACGAGTTTTTTTTTTACAGGTGTTTTACTAGATTATTATTTTTTTAATTACTTGATAATGTCCTGTCCCTTTTTTGTTTTCCTTTTCTTTACAGTGTTGGTTAAACGTGTCTGCTCATTTCATGTTTTTTTTATATTTTATTAAAAGACATACATCTATATTTTATTAAAAGACAACTTTCAGAGTTTATTACTCTGTGTCATACAATAGTGATTCATCTGTAAATGCATTTATGCCGCCTTTGTACATTACAAATACAAGTACAAAACCAAATCTGTGAAAATGCTCCTTATTGTGAAATATGAGTACTTGGCATAAAATACTTTTAGGATATTGACATTTAAAATAATTAAAAATATATTTTGCTAATTCTTTTACAATTATTATGTAAGGTGCTATGATATATTTATTGAGAGACTAAGTGCAATATTTACATTTATGCAATTAGCAGGCATTTTAAACAAATAAAACAAAAGCAGTGTATCAAAGAGCCAACAATATGAATACATAAACATTTATTTATATAAACATATCAATATATTTATATAAATATAATCTATTCATCACACCACAGGACCCTTTAAATTAATTAATAAAGGCAAAAATTTGATTAAGCATGTGAAAAGCAAAATAGAAATGTGGCCAAAATATGCACTTATGCATCCTTATTTTAGGTTAAAGGCACATTTTATGCATCAACTAATAATATTTTACTTCTGTCATGAACATTTGAAGCTGAAACAAGATTTACAGTAATGCATGTTGACTAGATCATGCTGCGTGAAATATTTACTTTCATGAAGACAGCAGCAGCATCTGAACAAAAAATAGTCTTCCTTGATTTAATTTTGGATATATTTGGGGTGGCCAGAAAAAAATAAGAAGTGAACAGTGTTTGTCAAACAAAATCAGAAATGTCTTTTTTTTTATCCTTTGGAGAAAAATAAAAAATAATCCATTCCAACACAGTCCCCAGTTTGCAACCACCAAACCATAGGACAGTTTGCATTATTCAGTATATAGTAATAAAAGTGATATATCATTTCACAAATAGCATCCTCTTCCTAATGTTTCCACATCATTTTGCTTTCTAGTGGCCTTGTGTTAGCCGTGTCTCATTTTAGAGTCAATTACAGGAATGTCTCAGAGCTGGCAGGAAGGGCCAAGTTTCGCTATACTGTTGCTGTATAGAAAACACTGGACTGGTTTACTTAACCCTGCTGACCTCTGGGGGGGTGCTGATCCCCTCAAGTTCTGGCTGAATAATCAATACTAGAGAGTGAGAGAAAAGAAAGGGACATAAACAGTAGATGTGTTAGCCGTGTCTCATTTTAGAGTCAATTACAGGAATGTCTCTGAAGAGTTAAACACTTCAATGTTGTGCACATGTGTGCATGCTTATAAACCTGTACATGTATGTGTGTATGTGACGTTTAACATCTGGGCCAGTTCTGACAGATTACATTAGCCTTGAGGGGCAACAAGCTCTGCTCTGCTGTGCTCCTTATGGTACATTGAGAATATGTCTAGGAAAGTAAACTGTATTGTGACAAAACACTTATTAGACTGACAATCAAGGTGCTTCAAATTATTTTTTGAAGCTGAACAAGAACTGCAAATAAAAGCAATGTTTTAAACAGCATGTCTATAACCAATTTAGCCTCATTTCAGTTTTAAGGCTTGTTTCAGATCGTGTATTTTAGTCAGAATTATTGTGTTAGCTTTCTATTTGACGCGCACAAGTGTGCTCTCGTTCAGTGAAGTTTAACGGACTCGCTGTCTGGCATCATTCAAGTTTTAAGTACTATTTCTCACACCATGTATTAATCGAGTGCTGCAGGGATGGCATATCTTTACAGGCCAAAATTCAGAAACGTGTTAACATTTTAGCTTTTTTGGTTGCATCATCCTAAAGTCAATGGGTTTTTGGATAAATGCCTGAAATAAGGTCTTTGCTTAACAAAAGCTCAAGATATTTTCACTTTTTATTCGATGACTTATAATACATAAGTAATTCCTCTTGTGATTTTTTAAAGCTCTAAAAGTGGCTTGTGCTTTTGCAAATTATTCAAACAAACAAACAAAAAATTTTAAATGAAGACTGATAAAGTTGTTGACGATGAACAAAACTTACTTTTGTTGGTCACAGAGCTTATTTTCTGCAACAATCCAAAAGGCATTTGCAAAATTTGATTGGGTTTTCCTGAGGCAGGAACTGTGATGTTAACTTCTGAGTTGGCATACAAAAATATTTAATTACTGCAGCACTTTGTTTTAGTCAGAAATATTGTGCTCCCTTTCTGTGCACTCCATTTGTTTGACACGCATGCATTCAATCAGACTTGCACTTGCTTGGTTAAGTCTGTGACGTTTGCTGTCATTTCTAACATTTATGTATATGGAAAGGGCACACATCTGTCAAAGCACCTAAAAGGGCAAGTCGTGTTACTTTACACTTGTGAGATTGGTTGAAGCATTTATATTAAAGCGTTATGTTTTTGAACATTTTGCATCATGCACATTTCCCACATCAGCCCAATCTGTGACCTCTATTATTTACGTGTTTTGTTCATAGAAATGCATTGTTTTACAGTACTGTAAAATGACGGCACTAGCAGATGCCGCACAGTGTGCAGACCAACTAATTAATAATGAAATTTGTTCTTGATTATTTATAATCAATCAATCTGTCTAACAAGGCTGTATGAAGAACTGATCCTGAAAAAAATCTGTTCCAATGCAGTTTTGATTCATTATAGGCAGGTTCCTTGTTTGACCTAGAGGAGAATTTGTTAAGGTTCATAGGAGTTCAGGCACTCGTTTACTTCATATTGATGTTCTGACCCTTCTTGATTGCTTAGCTGGCACTGTGACTGATGGAAGCATGCAGATGCATCTGGGAAAAGCTCACCTCACTTTCCCTCCCTGTGTTCTGCGTCCGGGCCAGAGCTGGATTAATTTTATCTCAGTCCCTGGCCTGAGCACTGCTCCTTGGCATGGAGTCCCCCAGCTACACCAACACATAAACATATCGGACAGCTATTTAAATTTCCCTCTCTCTCGCTCTGTTCATCTCACTCTGAGATGGAAGGCAGCAGATTGAATTGAGAGAGTGTGTCGGGTGATATATTCAGGTGTTTATGCATCTGTGAAATTATATGAGATGAGCTCTTCGTCCTCGACCTTGCTCTGAGTCAGAACTCTCATTGGCTTCTTGGCCTGTCGTTTTATATATTGATTTCCGCTCAAAAGATTAATTTCCCCCATTCTGTCACACCGAACCCATCACATCTGTGTAATATAGAGCTTTATAATACCAGAGTAGAAGAATGCAAATGTACCCCCATTATATTCTTATTACTGCCACCCAGGCAGAGAGAACAGGACGTACATCACCTTGTCTCACCTGGACCTGCAATGAGAGAGATAGGCACACCAATTCCAATCAGGGAAAGTGTCAAAGGAGGAAAACAGCCCGGCACTGAGGTACCAGACACCCTCTTTCCTGACTCTGCCAGTGATGTAGTCACCTTGCTTCAGGTGCTCGGGGTGAGCCTTTGTTTCCCTGGGCGCCTTGCCAATAATCAGGACAAAAGAGCCCAACCCTCAGAGGCACTGTACTTCCCAAACTCCCCAAACCGCAAAGACGTATAGTCCTCACGCCCAGAGATACTATTGAACGTTTCTACTAGAACAAGCTGAACTGTTACATTATTTCGGGGTGTTGTTTGTTTCAATTGTATCGAAAAGTTAAAGGTTGGCTGATTAACATAACCCTGTTAGCCTCAATTAACAGCCATTCAAAATTGGTATCCTTTTAAATACAACATGATGCAAAATGCAAAACTGACTGCATATGGTTTCTTAATAAACATTCCTGGTCTTATCGTGTAGGTGTCATAAGTGCATACAATTCCAATGAAAAAAGAAACATGTTTGTTTCTGTTTTATTTCTCTTCAAAATTTAATATATACATATTCAAGGTTGTATGAATAGATGAAAAAATATTAATCAGTCAGGGATGTTGTGTAAAACAAAAACTGAGTGGGCATTTATAGTTTAATTTATAGTAAAATTATGCACCCCTCAAACTAAAATGGCAAAAGAAGTTTAAATGTAAATTATCTTTATAATTAGTAATCAATACAG